TGTATGTGAAATCTAAAAAGTCAAATTCACAGAAAGCACAGTAGTATATGAATGGTTACAGGTGCTCAGGCAAATCCGCTTATGATAGTTAGGAGATTAGGGATACAACGTTGGATTAATTAGGTAAGCACACATACACCTTTCATGTCAGGTGGCCAGGGCGCTCCAGACACGATTGGCTCACGCCTTTCCGTAATTCCCTTTGTCATCTTGTCTTGGGAGGTTCTGAGCTGGGCAGGATTCCACAAGATTTCAGGAGATGGACGACCCATTCCTGACTAACACGGTTAAACCCGCCTAGTATCAAAAATTCAAAAATTCAGTCTGAGCGTGGTGTGCGGGCTGCCTGTATCCTCAGCTACGTTCTCTGCGGGGCTGACAGGCAGGAGAATCTTGGTCATGCAAAACCTTTGGGAACATTAAGCAATATAAGTTGAGGCAGAAGCTTTGCAGTTGGTGTCCCAGATCGCACCATTACTGCACATACTCTAGCTCTGGGCACAGGGCGGACTGCCGTTCTAACAAATAAAAAAAAATATTCTATCTAGAAGGAGACATTCAAGATTTATTGCACAGCATGGTGACCGTAGTAAATAGCAATGTATTGTATACTTGAAAATTGCTAAGAGATGGCTCATACCTGTAATCCCAGCACTTTGGAAGGCTGAGGTGGGTGGATCATTTGAGGTCATGAGTTCGAGACCTGCCTGGCCAACATAGTGAAACCCTGTCTCTATTAAAAATACAAAAATTAGCTGGGCATGGTGGCGCTGCCTGTAATCCCAGCTACTTGGGAGGCTGAGGCAAGAGCATCACTTGAACCTGGGATGCAGAGGCTGCAGTGAGCCGAGATAGCACCACAGCACTCTAGCCTGAGTGACCAAGTGAGACTCTGTCTCAAAAAGTAGAAAAAAAAATTCCTAAGAGAGTAGTAGGTTTTAGGTGTTCTCATTGCAAAATAAATGATAAATACATGAGGTCATACATATGTCAATTAGCTTGATTTTTTTTTTTTTTTTAAGAAATGGGGTCTTGCTGTGTTTCCCAGGCTGGTCTCAAACTCCTGGGATGGAGCAATCCTCCTGCCTTGGCCTCCCAAAGTGCTGAGATTACAGGTGTGAGCCACCATGCTTGACCTAATTAGCTTGATTTAGTCATTCCACAATGTATACATATTTTAAAACATCGTGTTGTACACCATATACGTACAATAATAAAGAGAGTTTGCAAAAATATTTTATCTACATCATGTTATAGTACAGGACTTCCAGAATTTTTCAATTGCAATCATGGGTGAATTTATAAGAGTCTTATTTTTTTGAGAGAGTCTTGCTCTGTCACCCAGGCTGGAGTACAGTGGCATAGTCTTGGCTCACTGCAGCCTCTGCCTTCCAGGTTCAAGCGATTCTCCTGCCTCAGCTTCCCAAGTAGCTGGGATTACAGGCGTGCGCTACCACATCCAGCTAATTTTTGTATTTTCAGTAGAGACGGGGTTTCACCATGTTGGCCAGGCTGGTCTTGAACTCCTGACCTCAAGTGATCCACCCGCCTCGGCCTCCTGAAGTGCTGGGATTACAGGCATGAGCCACTGTGCCCACCCTTATAATAGTCTTTTGCCATTAAGGCTAACATGCTACTTATTTAAAACTTTATTTTCTTAACAATGGAATGAGCATCAAAAAAAACCCAGAAAACTAAGTGAAGTATCCCATATTCCATTCTTCTAAGTTCTAATTTCTGGATTTATGTGTTTAAAACTTCTTTAGTGTAAAACATGGTGAAACTAGCTCTCACTTACGGGGTCTGCCTTGTACCAGAATGTCATATATCGTCTCACCAGTCTGCTAATTAATATCTCCGTTTCACAGATGATGTGGCTGGGGGTCAGAGAAACTGAGTAGCTTGGCCAAAGTCATGCCTGTTCTAGGTGGAGAAGCAGGATTCTAACCTGGGGGCTATCTGGAGAGAAAGTCTTGTGATTTCTCAAAATAGGCCAAATTAGCTTTGACATACATGAGTTATTGCTGCTGGGCTGATAGAGTAAGAAAGGGCTGTCATCTTACGTACTAAATATGTTCACACCTTTTAAGCAACCTCGTTGATAGTGTGTATCTTTTAGGTGTCTATTTTTCTGTCTTTGGGAATTTCATTGAAAACCACTTTCCCACTGTTTTCCTTAGCCTCCTTCAGTAGCAGTTTTTATTGGGGGAACATCCCAGATATGGTTTGACTGTGTCGCCATCCAAATCTCATCTTGAATTATATCTCCCACATTCCCATGTGTTGTAGGAGGGACCTGGTGGGAAGTAATTGAATCATGGGGGTGGGACTTTCCCATGCTGTTCTCATGATAGTGAATAAGTCTCTTGTGATCTGATGGTTTTATAAAGGGGAGTTTCCCTGCACACGCTGTCTTCTCTTGTCTGCCGCCATGTGAGATGTGCCTTTCACCTTTTGCCATGATTGGGAGACCTCCCAGCCATGTGGAACTGTGAGTCCATTAAACCTCTTTCTTTTGTAAATTGCCCAGACATATCCAATTGCCATGCCAGTTGGGTATGTCTTTATCAGCAGCTTAAAGATGGACTAATACAGTCCCTTTGTGGCAATAGGATGTATCAGTTTCCCACTGCTGTTGTAATAATTTACCACAAACCCAGCGGCTTCAGACAACACCAGTTCATCACCTGACCTCCAGTTCTGGAGAAGAATTGCTCCAGAGATGTCCACATCCTACTTCCCAGGACCCCTGAGGCTGTGACAGGGGAGCCTGTTCTGGAGGTTGGAAAGCTGAAGTGGGTCTCCCAGGCTGAAATTCAGGTGTCAGCAACTGCGCTCCTTCCTGGAGGCTCTTGGGGAGAATCTGTTTTCTTGTCTTTTCCAGCCTCGAGGGGCATCCACATGTCTTGGCTCATGGCCCTTTCTCCATCTCCAGAGCCATTGGACTGGTGAGGTCTTCCTCACACTGAACTTGACTCTCTGGCCTCCCTCTTCCACTTGTAACGACCCCTGTGGTTAGGCTGAACCCGCCTGGATAGTCTACCATAATGCCCCTCCCCTGTCCCGCCCGCCTGGATAGTCTACCGTAATGCCCCTCCCCTGTCCCAGCCTCATGGGTCCTGGGAATTAGGATGTGGACATCTCTGGGAGCAATTATTCTCCCTACCGCAGATTCATGTCCTTCCCATATGAGAAAAATATTCACTCTGTCCCAACATCTCCCAAAGCCTAAACCCATTACCCATGGTGAACCATCTCTACTGGGTGGGCGTTTCTATGTCTCTCTGTATTTTTGGAAAAGTTCTTAAGGTCTGCAGTAAGAAATTCAAACAATATAAAATGTTACAGAGTGAAAAGTAAGTCTCACTCCTAACCCAGATTTTTTTTTTTTTTTTGAGGCAGAGTCTCGCTCTATCACCCAGGCTGCAGTGCAGTGGCGTGATCTCAGCTCACTCCAACCTCTACCTCTTGGGTTCAAGTGATTCTCATGCCTCAGCCTTTGGAGTAGGTGGGATTACAGGTGTGCACCACCACACCTGGCTAATTTTTGTATTTTTACAAAAAGAGAGACAGAGTTTTGCCATGTTGCCCAGGCTGGTCTCAAACTCCTGGCCTCAGGTGATCCGCCCACCTTGACATTCCAAAGTGCTGGGATTACAGGCGTGAGCCACCGCGCCTGGTCCATCCCAGATCTGTAGCCTTCCAGGTCTCTTTTCCAGAGGTGAAAACAGTTATTATTTTGTGTACTGTCACGTCAGATGTTCTGTGCATATAGAAATGTGTATTTATGGCTTTTGTTTTTGTGCAAGCATCTTTTGTCCACCAATATGTGTTTTTCTTTTTGCCAGTCTTTCTGTGTGAGTACATACACACACACACACACACACACACACACACACACACAGCTCCAAAAAAAAGAGTTGGTCTTCACCAATGCACAAGTAAGTTGCTTCTCAAATTGTGCTACTTTTAGCAGCCTTGCTGGAGCTGTACGTGTTATTGTTGGGCTTGATATCTGGAGGCTGAATTCATAGCAGTGGAATTCTAGGGTGAGAGAGACCTAGATAGAGAGAAAGAAGATGGGATCTGCTAATTTACATGACAAAAACAATTCAAAGGCCAATGAAAGGGAAAATCAGTATCTTCTCCTTTAAATATCTTGATAGAAATAGCTTGTTTGAGAAATCTAACCAGGTGAACTCCAGTTAGATCTGGTCTATGGGGTGATTTGTAGGCCATAGTCTCTTTGAAATTTTTAGTTGATCTTTGGGAGTCTTTTTGGGGAGTCGCTTATGATGTGCTCATCAAAAGGCCTAATGCCCTGTCCTGCCCATCTGCGCTTATGAAATGTTCATCGAGGAAGCCAGGAGTGGACTCACCCACTGCCTCCCATCCGCACAGGACCCGTCACGCAGAATATACATACTCCCTTTGCAAATTCTTTCCCACTTTATGCGCTCAGCACCTTGTGTTATTTTGGCCCTCATCCTAGTTTTGCCTGTCGTAATTTATCATCCCTGCTGTACTGAGCAGTTCTTGAGGATTTCATCAAGGTTGTCTGTGCCTCTCTATCCCCTGTTTTTGTCCCAAGGTAGCACGGTGCCTGTTGGTGTTGATGAACAATAGGACTCAGTTTGGAGAGCCCTTTTTTTTTTGTCATGAATTTTGATGATGCCAAATTAGCCCGTTTCCTAGGAATGATAAGCTTGGCTTTGATAGATGATGGCTAACAATATTTTTTATTTGCTAAAGTTTAAAATGAATGAATTGAAAGATAGGCCTGACAACAGTGGTCGGGGCCTCCCATGTTCCTCTTGATGTTGTGTTTATTGTAGTGATACCCATTCTGCTATCCAGGAGAGGTGGATGCAGCTGAACATACAGCAGCACACGGCTCCTGTGATCTGGGAACTTCAGTGTTTAAGATCCTTGCTTGGGAATGGTTGGTGAAGGCTGTTTCTAGGGCTGAATTCTGCTTTGTGACTGGCATCGTTTTGCAGGCCACCGAATCCCTTTTGGAATCATCTTTGGAGGAACTGATGTCAATGAAGACGCCAACCAGGAAGAAAAGAACACAGTCATGGGCAGAGTTCTTGAGGAAGCCAGGTAATACTTGCGAGAATTTCACCCATGCCAAGCATTTAAACTATGTGGATGGAATTAATTGAAACCAAAGACCAAGGGCACCAATTGTCGGGAAGGTTTACATCTTATCACTTAAAACAAATTTCATGTAACCTTTTCTTTAATTTGGTACATTTTTGTTTTGCCACAAATCGTCATTGCTAACAGGTTATTGCACTTAAGTCTTCAACTACAGTTAATATTAGATAAGCCTCTTTAGAATGGTCTGCATGGAGCCAGCCATAGTGAGGCACACCTGTGGTCCCAGTGCTTGGGAGGCGGAGGCAGGAGGATCGCTTGATAGTGAGGCACGCCTGTGGTCCCAGCTGCCTAGGAGGTTGAGGTGGGAGGATTGCTGGAGCCCAGGAGCCCAAGGCTGCAGTGTGCTATGGTTGCACTCCAGCCTGGGTGGTAGAGCAAAGCCCTCTTCTCAAAAAAGAGGTGTTCTGAATGTAGAAAACACAGACCACAGACGAACTCCAGCCTTAGCAGCACACAAATTAGGGTCTAGTTTGCATCAGGTTTGCCCAAATAGACTGTCTTTGGCATGGGTCTTATCTATGTAGCTTTCTGAGCTATAAATGCCATTTGCAAGAAGGGATTTCTAAACTGTGGCTCAGGCCTTTTCCTTGGGTATGTCCCGCTAGCTGTCCTGGGAACCTGAGAGGTAGCTGCTGTGAGAACAGCTCTATGTGCTCTGAGTGGTGCTTCTCACAGGGGTCACTGTGATAATCCTTGGGGCTGCCCTGCACGTCTCTGATCCCAGATACTAACCATGGGCAGCAGCCTCCAGGTACCACAACTACCTAGTATGTCTGCCTATAATTCTAATGCCCCCAGGGTGGGGGAAGTTATCCCCAATTGAGAATTCCTTCCAGCGCTGTACTTCCCAACTTTATCCATGTCGATGTGGTAAAAGGAGGTTCATCGGAGGCCGTCGTTCTGGACTGGCACCTGCGCTGTGCCCCAGCAGACCAGCCCATGACAGAAAGGAGTCACTTGTGCTGAGTGCTGTGTAATCAACTAAACTTTGAAATGGGTCAGTCTTCTTTCTCTCTTCTTTATTCTCTCTTCTCTTTTCCTGACAGTCTCATTCTGTTGCCCAGGCTGGAGTGCAGTGGCGTGATCTTGGCTCACTGCAACCTCAACCTCCAGGGTTCATGCGATTCTCGTGCCTCAGGCTCCTGAGTAACTGGTATTACAGGCGGCCGCCTCCACACTCGGCTAATTTTTGTATTTTTAGTACAGATGGGGTTTCACCATTTGGCCAGGCTGGTCTCAAACTCCTGGGCTCAAGCGATCCATCTGCCTTGGCCTCCCAAAGTGCTGGGATTACAGGCATGAGCCACCGTGCCCAGCCTGAAATCGGCCAGTTTTCTAAAAAGCAAGAAATTCCAGCCAACTTCAGTCAGCAGAATAGGGATGTCTTCTCTGCTTTAACCCTGTGGGGCAAGTAACTCTGAAATGTCCTATCTGCTTTTTGTTTTCTGTGTCTGCTTTCTTCAGCCCTTGTCTGTCTGCAAAACACGCCTCCTCTGCTCAGCTCATCAGAATACTCATTCTGTTTTGTAGAATGAGGTGCTGCCCAATTCTAGAACTGCTAATAAAAGCCCATTCTAATCTCTGAACTAAATTTGTTGTCATTGTGTCTTGACAAGGCATACTTAGAAAATTATCATATTTGTATAGCAATTTCAGGTGGATTGAAAGGCTTGATTAAAAAAGTCACTCCCATTTCTTTGTCTAACAAATGCAATAAGAAGAATTAAAATAATGATAAAAGCAGGCCGGGCACAGTGGCTCAGGCCTGTAATCCCAGCACTTTGGGAGGCCCAAGGCAGGTGGATCACCTGAGGTCAGGAGTTTGAGACCAGCCTGGCCAACATGGTAAAACCCCCATCTCTATTAAAACTACAAAAATTAGCCAGGCATGGTGGTGGGTGCCTGTAATTCTGGCTACTTGGGAGACTGAGGCAGGAGAATCACTTTAACCCAGCAGGTGGCCAGGTGTGGTGACTCACGCCTGTAATCCTAGCACTTTGGGAGACTGAGGCAGGTGGATCACCTGAGGTCAGGAGTTCGAGACCAGCCTGGCCAACATGGTGAAACCCCGTCTCTACTAAAAATACAAAAATTAGCTGGGCGTGGTGGCCTGCACCTGTAATTCCAGCTACTCGGGAGGCGGAGGCAGGAGAATTGCTTGAACTCAGTAGGCAGAGGTTGCAGTGAGCCGAGATCGTGCCATTGCACTCCAACCTGGGAGACCTCAAAAACAAACAACAACAACAACCAAAGAACCCGGGAGGTGGTGGTCGCAGTGAGCCAAGATCTTGCCATTGCACTCCAGCCTGGGTTACAGAGCGAGACTGTCTCAAAAAAATAATAATAATAATTAATTTAAAAAATAAAAAAATCAAATAATGATAAAAGCAATATGAATCTTCCATGATCATATGAAAATTGTGAAAAAAAAAGCAGAAATTAAATCAAAAGAACTAACTGTACATACATACCCCAAACAAAGAACTTTTCTGATGAGTCATGAGGTGCTCAGTGGGCTTCCTCGGGATTTCCCCAGACAGTCGAGGGGGTTCTGTGCAGTTTGTCCTCCCACATGTTCACTGGCTGCTGATGTTAGAAGAAAGCCTCACCTATGTCTAGAACAATAACCCTGAATTCACAGTTTACAGATGGCCCAACAAGTACTGCCTAACTATCCCTTCAACCTTTTTAAATCTTTGAATCATTGTAAGAAATAAAACAAAGTAAAACTGATCATTGATTTTCACCCAATCAATCACCAGCCATCAGTTTTCTGTGGCTCACCTCATGGCTGGGAAGCTCTGGCCAGGGAATTTGGGACACTTCAAGTCTTCATGTAGCTGGATCACCCTATTCCATACCGGGGACAGCACTCAGAGTTCTGTCTGGAGCCTCAGATTCCTTGTTTGGTAATGTAGGTGTCAGTCTCGCTTCTGAAATCCAGGCTTAGTGAGAGGTATCACTGCGTTTAGGACCCTAGCCCTTCCCGAGGACCCCTGACCATATGTTGTGGCAATGCAAGTATGGACCCAAAAAACCCGAGACAGGTCTCAGTTACCGTTTAGAAAGTTGATTTTGCCAAGGTTGAAGACACGCACCCAGCCTCAGGAGTCCTGATAACATGTGCTCAAGGTGGTCAGGCACAGCTTGGTTTTATACATTTTAGGGAGACATGAGACATCAATCAATATATGTAGGAAGTACAGTGGTGCGTTCTGGAAAGGCAGGACAACTGGAAGCAAAGGCAGGAAGACTCAAAGCGGGGAGGGGTCTTCCAGGTCACAGGTAGGTGACAGACAAAAGGTTGCATTCTTTTGAGTTTCTGATTGGCCTTTCCCAAGGAGGCCAGATACACATTTATCTCAGTGAGCGGAGGGGTAACTTTGAATAGAATGGGAGGGAGGTTTGCCCTTAGCAGTTCCCAGCTTGACTTTTCCCTTTAGCTTAGTGATCTGGGGTCCCAAGATATTTTCCTTTCACACCACCTAATCATAATAGCACACACGTGTGCCTGTGTGTGTGCATTACAATAAGAAAAGGCATTAAAACACGTTGGGGTAACCTTGGGGATCTTTTATTACAGGTTCTCTTATTGCTGTTGTTCTTACACTCTGCAAATTCATTACCTTTAGATTCCTGTAGTTGGTAACACACTGCCTTATGGAAGGAAAATAATTCTGTTTACAAGAAACAACATTGAATGAATCCATCTTACAGTATTATCATTAGTATTATTCATTGCATTGTTATTAAAGCAAACACTGATTTCTATTTCGGGGGGTTATTGATCGAGGTTAGTGGGCAGGAAAGCGGCATGAATCACATTCCTTGTCCAATACAATATAGCACACTTTTCTGTAAAAGAAAGTATTGAACCTGTCTAGCTTTATAATGAGTATTTCATTTTTAATCAAATGATTTTAAATAGTTACATTTTTCCTATAGGGTCTATTTTTGAAGTTTTTTTAGTATTAAATTTTTTTTCTATGTAATATAGTATTTGAACTTACTTTAGCCTCAGCTTTTTGGCTTATACGTATTATAATGTAATAAGTACTTGACAATTATGTTATCAATATCAAAACTAAATGAAGAGTATTTGAAACCGATGGAAATTGGTGAAGGATCATCCAGGTACATATTAGAAGAAAATATTGTTGGCCAGGCACGGTGGGTGGCTCACGCCTGTAATCCCAGCACTTTGAGAGGCCAAGGTGGGTGGATCACTGCGGTCAGGAGTTTGAGACCAGCCTGGGCAACATGGGGAAACTCTGTCTTCACTAAAAATACAAAAATGGTGGCGGATGCCTGTAATCCCAACTACTTAGGAGGCTGAGGCAGGAGAATCACTTGAACCTGGGGAGGCAGAGGTTGCAGTGAGCTGAGATCTCGCCACTGCACTCCAGCCTGGGTGAAAGAGGGAGACTCTGTCTCAAAAAAAAAAAAAAAAAAAAAGAAAGAAAGAAAAGAAATAATTATTGTCAAGCAAATGAGCAAGAGAGTTTGTATAAAATGAAACACCTCAAAAATAGCCTCATAAATAGGAAATATATAGCACATGATAGGTTAAACGAGGTGAATTTGCTGTTTTGTATGCATAAAATGGCTGAATATTGGTAGTTTCGTAAGTTTTTTTTTGAGATGGTGTCTTCACTCTGTCGCCCAGGCTGGAGTGCAGTGGCACGATCTCGGCTCACTGCAAGCTCCGCCTCCCGGGTTCACGCCATTCTCCTGCCTCAGCCTCCCGAGTAGCTGGGACTACAGGCGTCCGCCACCTCGCCTGGCTAATTTTTTGTATTTTTGGTAGAGGCGGGGTCTCACCGTGTTAGCCAGGATGGTCTCGATCTCCTGACCTCGTGATCCGCCCGCCTCGGCCTCCCAAAGTGCTGGGATTACAGGCGTGAACCATCACGCCCGGCCAGTTTTCACAAGTTTTAAGC